TTTTTAATCGAGGAGCTATCTTGAGGATACTTTTAGTGTCACCAGTTCCAAATTTCAATCTGGTTCAAATTACAAAAATTGAAAATTCAGATTGAAAAAGTATATGTCAATTATGGCACACCCCTTTAAGCCTTTAAGGCCCATTAAACCGGATTTATACCCTCCAAATCCTGCCTAACTCATGTGTCTACCAATGAGCCACCTTGCAGGTACAGTCCTGAACTTTTTTGTTTTTTTTACTTCTTCTTTTCTTTTCTTTTTTTTCTTTCTTTTTTTTTTTTTTTAATGTCCAGGGTGTAGTAGAGGGTGGTGGCCACTGGCCAGGCCTCGGGAGGTGCCCTTAGTACTCATCCATTGGGAGGGGTCAGATGGATTGTGAGGACCCAGGGGGAGTCCCCTCAGGATGGCACCATGGTACCATGATTTTATTATTATTATTATTATTATTATTAATTTTCTTCAAAAATAAAAAAACGGAACCTTACAATTCTGGCTCCGTTCCATTCCGGGAAGCATCAGTCCGGTTCCTATTCCACCGACCATGATTTTTTTTTGAACTTTTTCTTGTTTTAGTTTCTTTTTTTTCATTTGATAATTGATACGCATATGGACGGTCGTGGGTTACAAGATTAAGATTGAGATCATCGATTGTCAGTGCATGTGCTCGTGTGCATGCAAAAAAGAAACAGACAACCTTAAAAAAATAAAATGCTGGGCGCTTTTTTATTTTGCATTTGCTGTGTTTGACAAGCGTCAGGGCTCGGTGGCGTAGGCAGGTTGTTGCAAAAAAATTGATCTGCACAAAAACTTGCTGCTTGGCTATCTGGCTATGAAACTCTATCCCTTACAATTTTTGGTTGATGTGGGTTTCCACTTTTTCTGGCTGGCGTTTTCACATGCATGAATATTGCCGCTGTCTGTTTCTTGGGAAAATGACGAGCTGCCACAGTCGTTTTGATGACAACACCGACGTATGGACAACTGACTCGGACCTGGATCTGGATTCTGGACCTGGACCTGGACCTGGACCTGGACCTGGTTCCGGACATGGAGTTGGACATGAACCTGGTCCTGTTTCTGAACGAGGGTCTGTTTACATGGACGTGGGCTGGGCTCTGTCTCTGTGCGCGCAGGGAGAATGGTTGGAGGTGCTTGGTTGTGGTGTCATGGAGCAGCAGATCCTCGTAAACTGCGGCCGCCCAGATGATAAGGCCTGGGCTTTCGGCCTCGGGCTTGAGAGACTGGCGATGGTTCTGTTTGACATTCCGGACATCCGCCTGTTTTGGACGGATGATGAGCGGTTCACAGGTCAGGTAGGTATACGAGGGGGAGACATTGGGGTCTCTCCGCAGAGTCTGCACCACTCTCCAAATGTGCAAAATGAGACTGAATCCACCGCTAGAACATGGAAAGATACATTCAATTTGTTATCTTTTTGGTCTTTTGTGCATGTGGAGACTCTGGAGAGTAGTGCAGCGAGGCCCATTCCCTGCATCCTTCAGAGAGTACCATCCTAGTTTTCCATTGCACATTGTGTCCTACATGAGAGTAAAGCCTTGCATAATGTGCTTATTATTATTATTATTATTATTATTATTATTATTATTATACTATTATTTAAATAGAAATTTGATTTGTAAAAGCTGTCTTGTCCGCCTCATATGTGGGGACAGTTGTATATATACTACGACTTCGCTAGCTTCCTGCTACGGTTTTCTCCGGTCAGGTCGAGCGGCAGTGGTCGGGGCCGTCACTACGCGGCGATGCTGTGCCTCTAGTGCCAGCGGCGTGTCTGGAGTGTATTTTTTGGCTGTGACAGACCTTTCTTTGTTTCGTGGGTGTTTTGCTGGCTTGTGAT